TCTACCAAGCACCGTATTCCTCCAAGATCGGTCACAACCAATCCAGTTCCAGACAAACCACCTTGCCCGGGCTCCAAAGTGCCTCAACAGCCGCTGAACCAACTGCTTCCAAGCCTGATGAGTCCGGATCCGCCTCCTCACAGGGTAGGCTTCCCGGTACTCACTTACACGGTCCGAGTACAAGAGATTCCGGTCCACTGGCAGTCTGGGCTCCAAACCCAAACTTGCCTCCAGGCACTCACAGAGTCCTGACAGACAACCAAAGACCATACACGGGCTCGTACCACAAGGCACAAGCTCCGCTACCACGTGAAAAACCGAAGGTCCCTCTGGTACCTTTTCCCTTGAAAGCACGAACCCTGACCTCTCACACAAGTGCGGACAACTCTCTCTTTTTCACAGTCAGAGCCACTTGAGCCAAAAGTCACGAAGTGCACAAACTAAACGAATTCTCTCTTGTGAGCTTAAACTCAGCTTCAGAACGAAGTTCCTACACACTGCACACTCACTTTAAATAGCGTATTGGGCAAAAACACACTCGTATGATTAACGAGGCATAAACCATCGAGGATGGGATCACACTCACTCCGAAGCAAAACAAACCTATACAAGCTGATCCAAAACATGACAAAAACATCACTGATCAGCCACAATCTTCCACTAATCTCTCCAAAACTGGAGGGTGGGCCTTTTCGAAGCCTCCTCCGGCTCGAGTGGCTCGACAAGCAAGCCTTCCACTTTGGCAATCAAAGATGTTGCCCCCGACGAGAGCATTGACGAAAAAGCAGTGGCAAGATGCCAAGACACAGCTTGCATCCATGATGTCAGCTTTCGACCGGCTTGTGCAGAATGGCAAGAAGCTGATCAACCAGATGGGGTCTGAGATGAAGGCAGATCCACTGTACCTGCAGCTGCTCTTTGCCTGCTCTCATGTGAAAAGTTACCACAATGTCTGCTCGTGTCAAAAGTTACCAATGTGGACTTGTGAGTGTCTACACCCCAAACTCATAACCCCACATTTAAACTCCAAACCCTAAACCCGTTTGTGGATATGGATTTTTTGGTAGGGTAAAGGGTGAGTGCTTCAGGGTCTGGGGTTGGGGTGTAAAGGGTTCAGAGTGTCTGCCCTTTGGGTCTTGTACAAATTCGTGCTTGAAGGAAGCAAGTCGTGCAGAAGGCCTCTGGTCACAAATGCAGCTTGGAGCATGTGTGGAGCCTATGCATCCAACCTTTCTTGAACCCTGTAAAATTGTACCATGTGACTGCATAGGAAAAGATTCACAAAGCGACAGCCTTCTCTCTCTCTCTCTCTCCAGGAGATGCCGGATGGATCCGAACTCATCCTCAAGACCTACAAGCAGCTCATTGATCAAGCTGGCCAGGATGCCAAAGCTTGGAGGAGCAGGTTGCCGGCAGGGCGCAATTGACAGTGAGGGCTGCACGAAAGCTGGCACTAAGTCGCCACAGCAAAAAAGTTGCTCTCTACAGCCATCGGGCCAGTTTTGGGCGAACTTTCGAAGCAGACGGGCAAGCTCTGAATGTCGTGCATCCTTCACAAGGTGCATATACACTTTTGGGTCGATGAAAGAGAGCAGAACGTCCGACACACATTGTTTTCCACAGAGCAGGATATCTCCAGTTCGGGAGGTTTTGACATTTTGACTACAGATCTGCGGGCTCGCAAAGCAAAAATCGGAAGTATTGCTCGTCGTCCTTTGGTGGTGGCTGCCTTACTTTTGTCGTCAGCTGCTTTTATGTTTTACTGTTGTCTTGCCTTTGTCGGCAGCTGCTGGCTTCCAGATTTACTTGCAGAGTTTACGATCGTGCAGTGGGTCCAGCTGAACAAACTGTAGCACCCTATGAGGTTTGATGTTCAGGATGCAGCTGCACAAAAATAGCACCCCACATAGGGTTAGGTTTGAGATGTAAAACAAGTTTCGGACAAATATAGGGTCAACAGAGTTTGGCCCAAAACCCTAAACCCTAAACCCTAAACCCCGTTGCACAGACCCTAATACTTCGCTAGACCTTTTATAAACCCTTTTGTTGACTCTTGACCCTTTCTTGTAACAGCAACTGCAGCATGCCTCAGCTGCTATGGAAGCAGAATCGGCTTTGGAAAGCTTGCTGATGGAATCTTTCGCCTCAGGAGCTATATCAGGTGCGTTTGCTATGCAGTGATCAAAGCAGCTGTGCAGGACATTACAGAAGTAAGGGACAATGGTTCCACTTTCCCCCCGATGGAGAAGCTCATATTGTGCATTCGAAGAATTTCAACCACCTGGCCTTGGAGTTCGCCCTCAAAAACAAAGCTGAGCTCATGGCCCCGATGGAAGTAAGCATTCCCTGCAGGGTGCTCCAGACAATCAACCATCGTGCCGGATCATGCTTCCCCGAGATGTTGATGGGGTACACTGGTTCCTCTGGTTGGCAGAAGTCTAAGGTTTTGGTCCACCTTTAAGAGCCACCCTTGCATGCAAGGGCACGAGTTCTGAAGCGCCCCGGCTTTGAATAGTGTGCCATCCCCCTCTGTCTTCACGGAGATGAGGTGCCCGTGGTCGGACTTGGAAAAATTTGGTGCCACAGTGTGTTGCAGTTCAGCTTCAACAGTTTGATGGCAACGGCGGCTGGGAGATCGGCAGAGGATTGTCAAATCTTCATCTGGGGCATCTTTGAGAAGTATGTCTTGCCGGAAACGATGCCAGCCTTTTTTTTTGGACTCTTGAAGTGGAGCTTCGACATTTGCTACTCCGGTCGATGGCCGAGCAGGGATTGGAGGGGGGTCAAGTGCCATGGCTCCTTACCTTAGAGATGCAGATGAGACCCAACACCCTAAACCCTATAGTCACGATATTTCTATATATATATATAAGGCCTAGACACCAAAGCTATTTTTTTATCGCAAGAGACGAGGTATGCTATACGGTATAAAACAGCCCCAAACCCTTTTGACACCAAACCATTTTTATCGCAGACGAGGTATGCTCCCGGTACCCCTGAGGCTCGTCGTGCTGGATCCCAGCTCTGTGCCGGGTACTTCGGGGTCCTACTCCAGCTGAATGGGGATTTGGACTATTTCGCGAAGTGGTTGGAAACCCCTCGCTGGTCAAGTCATGCAAAGCCCTGCAGCCTCTGCAGGGCCACTTTTCGTGGCGAGCTCTCTTAGCTTGACAATCGCCCTTCGTCGCCTTGGCAGCAGTCCTGCCTTACCACAGCAAATTGGAGGAGCCATTGCCAACCAATCCAATCTTCAGGCTGCCTGGAATGGGTGGACTTTCCTGCAGCATGGACCTGATGCACAATCTTTACCTCGGCTGGCTACAATACTTCTATGGAAGTACCGTCACAATCATCATCGAAGATTGTCTCCCGAACTCGCCTTTGCAGAACCTTGCATATGTTTCCGCTTTCATCAAGGACTACCAGAAGAATCAAAAGAGAAAGTTCAAACAACGATTGCACAAATTGACGATGGTCCAGCCAAAGAAGGGGTATCCGAAAATGCGAGGCCGAGCAGCCGACATGCAGAGCTTGCACGATGCACTCCTTGCCCTTTTCACCGAGGAGATGGACGAGACGAACACACAGCACAGACGAATTCGTTTGTTCCTTGAACTCAACAAGCAGGTGCAAGATTCGTTGGATGAGTTCTCGCCCACTTTTGGGTTCATGGCCGTTCCGGAAGAAGAGGCCTCGGCGATTTTTAGGAAAGGCCTCACCATGGCTCAGCTTCATGTGATGTTGTTCGAGCACTTCAAGAGCGAGGAGAGGAAGATCTTCAATCTGACTCCCAAAACCCATTTTGTCCTGCACAGTCTTTGGTTGTCCCGATATATTCACCCGGCCATGTTGTGGTGCTATAAGGGTGAAGCCACAATGCACCGATTGCAGGTGCTCTGGAAGTCCTGCTTGCCGGGGTGCAAGCATTGGCAAGTAGGGATGAGAGCAGCTCTAAAGGAGCGGTACCTGCTTTGGCTCAAGGGCAAGGTGTGAATCTGCCACCACAACTCGCACGACGAAAATCATCTTGCCTCTCAACAGTAAAGCTTGCATGCATCGTGTTTCCTTGTGAGGTCTCATGTAAAAGGTTACTCTTGAGTAAAGTTTCCTTATGTGCTCTCATGTAAAAGCTTTGCTTTTGAGTAAAGTTTCCTTGTGAGCTCTCATGTAAAGGGTTTAGTTTTGAGTAAAGTTTCCGTGTGAGCTCTCATGTAAAAGCTTTGCTTTTGAGTAAATTTTCCTTGTGAGCTCTCATGTAAAAGGTTTAGTTTTGAGTAAAGTTTCCGTGTGAGCTCTCATGTAAAAGCTTTGCTTTTGAGTAAAGTTTCCTTGTGAGCTCTCATGTAAAAGGTTTACTTTTGAGTAAACTTTCCGTGTGAGCTCTCATGTACAAGGTTTACTTTTGAGTCAAGTTTCCTTGTGAGCTCTCATGTAGAAAGTAGAAGGACGTCTTGGGTGACGTTTCCTTGTGACCTCCCATGTAAAAGGTTTACTCTTGAGTTTCAGGACTCGCTGTACAGCTTACTTCCGTCGTACAGTGTCTCATGAGCTAGGCCAAGTTTTTTTGGGATTCATTTTTTGTTACATGTTATCAATAGTTGTGTGCTGTTTTTTTTGTGCTCTTGTTGATGTGTTTTTGCACACTTTTATACGTTTTAAGGATGTATTTTTGCTTTCATCGGTTTTTTGGGTGATGCAGTTTTGATGCTGTTTTGATGCCGTTTTGATGCTTTTTCCTGGTTTTGGCAAAATTTACATTTACTCGAAAATTTACTTTTTTTCAAGTAAAATTTTCGATTAGTGTAAATTTGCCCAAAATGTAAATTTACTTGATTTGCAGGGTTGGGGTAAGCACATCCACTGGGAATCCACCCAAGCCTCAATGGACTCGGCCCTGTGGGGCCTTTTGACTTTTGACTTTTGACTCTCGAAACCATGTCCAGCAACTTTTGGCTCTTTTTTAGGCTCAAAAAACCGAAAGCCATGGCGCCCACCTGCAGCTACGTCTCGCCAGAGGGCTTGGCCTGCGGCACCAGGGCCAAGGGCGGCGTGGACGCCCTGCCCCGGCGCTGCGCGCGGCACGGCGGCGGCCCGCGCTGCCAGCACCTGCTGCCGTGCGGCGGCAAGTGCGGCCTCGGCGGCGGCCCGCGCGGCTTCGGCTGGGCGCGCAGCAGGGCAGCCGCTTCTGCCGCACCCCGCGGCGGCGCGAAGCCGGCCCGCTGCGCCTTCGTGGGCGAGGACGGCGCGCCCTGCCCCAAGCAGGCGCAGCCCCGGGGCGCTGGTGCATCCGCCACGGCGGCGGCGTGCGCTGCGCCCACGCCGGCTGCCGCAGCTCCGCGCAGCCCGGCTTCGACCGCTGCAAGGCGCACGGCGGCGGGCGGCTCTGCGCCGAGCCGGGCTGCCGGCTGCTGGCGCAGCACCCCGGCCCGCGCTGCCTGCAGCACGGCGGCGGCCCGCGCTGCAGCCGCGCCGACGTCCACCTCGGCGAGGCGCCGCCCGGCCACTACAGGGCCGAGGACGGCGCCCGCCTCTGCTGGGGCTGCCTCGCGGCGCTCGAGCCAGCGCGGCTCGCGCTGCGGGTGAAGCGGGAGCATCTGGTCCTGGCGGAGGTCCAGCGGCAGCTCGGCGCGGCCCTCCAGGGCGCCGAAACGGTCGTGTGGGACTGCCCGGTGCCCGGGGGCTGCAGCCTGAAGCGCCCTGACCAGCTCTTCCGCTTGGCCGACCGCTTCGTGCAGCTGGAGGTGGACGAGGAGGGCCACTGCCGCCGCGAGGTGGCGCGCTGCGCGGACGAGGACGCGCGGCTGGCCGTCATCGCTGTGGACGTGGGGCTGCCGGGTCTGGTGCTGCGGCTGAACCCGGCCGGGGTGCTGCGGCGGAAGCGGCTCCGGAACGGCGAGCCGGCCTGGTGCGCGGGGCCCTTCTGCGCGGAGGCGGCGCGGGAGGTCCGCGCCTACCTCGCCGGGCCGCCCGGCGAGTCGCTGCGGCAGCTCGGGCTGCCGAAGGACTGGTGGGCCTCCAGGGACGAGGACGGAGACTGAGGCTCGTTCGGCGCGGGCAAAAGGTCCGTGGCCCTTTCGGCGATTTCCAGGCAGAGGGAGGGGGGCATGGAGTAGAGGGTCTTCTGGGTTTGCTTGGCGGCGTCGCGCTTGCCGTCGGGGCCCACCCTGGAGCCCCGCTGCGCGGCCTCGGCCGTGCCCCGGAACGCGGCGCAGCGGCTGCCCTTGCTGGGCGTCCACGGGAGGTAGGTCCAGATCCTGGTGGGCTTGCGGTAGCCGAAGCCGTAGGAGCAGTAGGTGACGTCCACGAAGGGCAGCCCCTGCATGTACTCCCGTGTCTTGAGCAGCCCGGTCGCGGGGTTCTCGATCGCCCAGTGCCGCGGCCGCAGCTGGCCGATGAGCTCCAGGGTCCTCAGCACCAGGCGGTCTCCCGCCTCCAGGTCGCGGGGCCTTCGGGTCATGGCGCGGCTGAACTCCGTGCAGACCGGCGAGGCCCAAACGAAGTCGAAGTGCCCCGGCGGGTACGGGGAGGCGTCCCACTCGCAGACGTCCGCGGTGATGCTGGCCCCGGCCTTCGGGTCGAGGTCAAGGCTGGTCACCTCCCAGCCCAGGGCCCGGAAGGCCCGCCCCACGGAGCCCGTGCCCGAGAAGAGCTCGAGCAGCCTCGGCGGGCGGCCGTTCATCCTCGCCGCCGCCTTTCTCCGGATCCGCGGCCAGCATCCAGAAGAAGGCGACCAGCGCGGCGGCCAGGCAGGCGAGCTCCAGATTGCAGAGCAGGCACTCCCGCAGGGTCATCGGCGCGGGCCGCGGCTGCTCGGACCAGTCGGGCGGGGCCATTTACTGGAAAAGCCGAAGCAAGGCCGACGGGGCGAGCGAGCATGGCGGACGGCGCGGAGCAGATCAGCCTGGGCGAGCTGCAGACCAACGCCAAGGGCGGCAAGTTCCTGCCTCTGAGGGCGGCTCACGGCGGCTTCGCCTCCTGGCGCAGCCCCGACTGGCTGCGGGTCATCTGGCACCCCAGCAGCTTCGGCGCCAAGGAGCAGCGGCGCGTGAACCTCTGCCTCGAGCCCTGCGAGGAGGCCAAGGAGTTCTTCGGCGGCGTGGAGCGGCTCCTGGTCGAGGAGCTGGCGAGGAAGTCGGTCCACGACACCAAGATCTTCGGCAAGGCCCTGGGGCGCTTAGCAGCTGCGCGCCGGCCGCCGAGGCCCTTGGTCTGGCCCCGGCTCCGGCCGCACGGCGGATCAGCTCCCGCTGCGCCCCCCAGCTTCTCATGATTTTTTTCCCTTGCCTGTTTTTTTGTTGGCGCCGGCAAGGCGCGCCGGTCCGAGCAAAAGGGCTTGGTTCAAGGCAAATCCGCCTTGAGCCTCACCAGCCCTTGTCCTTGCCACGCCGTGCGCCGGTGCACGACGCGCACCGGCCGGCCTCCGGGCAGCCTTACGCGCTGCTCCGGCATGAGGTTCCCGAGAATTTCCGAGGCGTCCGCGGCGTGCACTCCGCGCTCCTGGGCGAAGCGGTGCCACGCCCTGAGCACTTCCGCTGCCTCGCTGGCCTTCCGCGCGCGTCCACGCGGCATCGTCTCCAGCCGCTCCTCGTTGAAGCGGCGCCAAACGTGGTCCACGTCCATGCGCGTTTTTTTCTCATGCTGCCCGCGCTCGCCTCCGCGGATCCGCAGCCTCTGCTCTTATTGGGATCGTTGCGGGGTGCTCCCACAGTGGGCCCACAAGGGAGGAATTTCCACTTCCCTGCGCGCGCACGCCCTGCGCCCGCCCCCAATTCTCCAAGGCAGTGCACCCACAGGCCCCCTTCAGGGCTCCGCGCGCGTCAGAAGGCGCACCGGCTGTGGTTGCACTGTAGGGCGTTTTTTCTTGAACATCCATTTAAATGCATTTTAGGAGGGTTTTGGAAAGTTGCGAGATAGCTGGAATTGCAGGCAGGGGGCCTGTGGGCGCACTGCCTTGGAGAATTGGGGGGCGGGCGCAGGGCGTGCGCGCGCAGGGGGGTGGAAATTCCTCCCCTTGTGGGCCCACTGTGGGAGCACCCGCAACGATCCCAATAAGAGAGAGATTGTGCACAAACGTTGAAAAAAAAATAGAACATGAAAAAATGGACAGAATGGACAGACAGTAGAAGTAGATGCAAAGATTTAAATTTCGAAATTTCAGTTAAAAATTTCAAAAAAAATTTTTGGATTGCTCAGAGCCAAGAACACGCGTATCAACGTTTTTTTCTTGCGCCTTCTTAGCTTCGCTGTTTTTGTCTATCTGGCTTGGCAGCACTACTAGTATTAAGCAGGTCCGTGCGTTTGCGCAGGTGCGGCAGGAATGCGACGGGGAACGTGAATTCAAGGTCCACCACTGGAGAAGCGGCGCTCCAAGTACAAAACGGCAGTCTGAGCTCTGGAAAGCGGCAGCCGCAGAAAAAGCAACAAAACAGGTGGAGAGTCAGCATCCAAGGTGGCAAACCAATGCTGAAGTAACTCCTCTGCATTCTACCCCGGTCGAATCAAGCGCAAGGAATGTCCGCATTGAGCACCGGAGTGAGTCTGAAGCACTTGCTGAACTTTCTGCAGCAGCCTGGCAAAGCAGCCCCAGGCTTAGTTGACAGTTGCAGCTGTTGTTGGTGGCTGAAGCCAAATGGTCCACTTCTTAATTAATTGGAAAAATTATTATTTTTTTCATTATTGCTCATTCATGTTTATGCACTGAGGTTGACCAGTTTTGTGCGGAATTGACGTGAAAAATGAAAATTGACAAATTTATTTTGGCATTTTGTGGTGTTTTTCTAAGTGTGCATGTGCAAGAGTGTTGTAATGTGTGTGTGTTTGGTTGCAAAGGTGGTTGGTGCATTGGCTTTAGTGCGCAAGGAAAGTGTGTGTGCAATGGAGTTGTTTGCATGTCTGTCGGCGGCGTTCTACTGGCTGTTCAAGTGTGGAAGTGTCGGCTGGTGAAGATATGTGGATTTGGACACATAATAGAAAAAATCTTATCTGTCTGTGTCTTGATTTTAATTGTTATTAAACTCAAATGGCCATGCGCATGGCGAACAGGTCCAAGGCAAGCTGAACGGCAAAGCCACGTGACTTCTTATCTGTCAGGCCCGGTGGTGGCCAGGTGCAGACATTAAGCGAAAGTATGGAAGGCCGTAAGAAGGAACCTGTGATCTGAACTGTCTAATGCGTCCGCAGGAACAGTTGCCACAGAAGCGCCAGATGCACCTTCTTGCAGTAGGTGACAATTGAGTGTAAATGCACAAAAGAACGAAAGCCAGCAGTCTTACAGGCGGGCCAGGTAGTGCGCAGCAAAACGTGTCTAAGAGGCTGAAAGTGCACCCACTGTCCGAGTCTTGGACAATTTGTTAAGAGGTCTTCTTAGCAGGCAGCTTTCGGCTGCAGGTACGCTTTCTGCGCTTAGCTGGTTCTCAAGTTTAGACATGTTGTTGCAAGTGGCACCCAAAAGCTCTCACTGTCTCGGCACATTTTTCTTCAAGACCGTTTGGAGTCCTCCTCTTACCAAAAAGAAGCGTTGTGCGGTTGGCTAGATTGGCGTTAACGCGGTTGGATCCGCTCTTCCATGGTCTCCATCTGGGCCGAGAAGTCCGCCTCTTGGCGGTTCTTGCATTTGCGTCTTCGTCGTGGACTAGAAAGAAGGAACACTTTGCTCTCTGCAATTTGCTCAAGCCCGTTTTGGAAGGTTTTCGACCTCCAAAACTGTGTCTTAAACACCCAGATTTGCGGGGTTGGTGCTTGAGTGTGACATTATCCTATGTTGGTCGCCTCTGTCATCAGGGCCCTTTTTTCGAGACCCGTTTTGCTTGCAATCACTAGCTACAAGCTTGCCTCCTGCCCTTCAACCCCTGACACCCAACTCCCCCGTTGCTGAATCTCTGACAAGGTTGCGTGGGCAGGAGGTTGGGCAACTGTGTGAGAAAAACGACCAAGCCTGAAGACATTTATGTTGGCCTGTTAAAACTGAGCGATTCTGATTTCTTGTTCAGCTTGCGGTTGCTTTGAGGGGTGGGTGCTTGAGTATGACAGTATCCTATGTGCCCCTGTCATCAGGCGGCCTTTTTTTGGGGCCCATTAGTATCTGCAAACACTAGCTAGACTGCTGTCAAGGGCTCCTTCTTTGCTCTGATCCGCTACATGCCCTTACACCCCTGCCCTTCACCCCTGCACTCCAGCCACCTCGATGTCATAGCTCCCCCATTGCTGCCATCTCGCTGGGGGTTGGGCAACTGTGTGGAAAAACCAAACCTGAAGACCCTTACGTATGTTGGCCCGTCTTTGTAAACAAAGCTTTTCTCGCACAAGCGCGCTTAAGACTTTCTGTTGCTGCATACACTTTGTGTAAACGTGAGTGAACAAAGCAAAACGTTGTTTCGGAACACCAGCTACAACGCTGGTTTGAAACCAGCACTCTGGAAAATAGTTTAAATCCAGCTTCTACAGTTGAGTAAGACAGCACAGATATGACATACATGCGTGCTTACATTTGCACACGCACGTGTGTGGCACATGTGAAGGGTGGCCCCCCACTATGACACTCTAAGAGCACGCGACGCAAAAACGTAAGACCCGGATACAAAACGGAAAAGACCCGGATGCAACCGGAAGCCGATCCTATTATCGAACGAAACGCGCCGGTAATTCGGCCTCCTGCAATACTGTTCTACATCTTCAACATTTCTAGATCCTATACATGGGGCCATGGGGTCAGGGGGCGAAGGTTTAGCTTGAAGAATGCTGCGCGTGAAAATACGAGGTTGGAAGAAAGGCTTCAGTGGCAAGTTGAACTGCTTGGCATGCGTATGCGGATATGCGTACACCACTCACGATTGTTGTGTATTATAAATCATGAAGTTGTGAAGTTTGTATTTTGTCGGGAGCCCGTTCGTGGATTGCACGGTACCATGGTAGGCTCGAAAAGACAGGTTTGCAAACAAAATGGTTCGGAGACATGGCGAATTTGTAAGAGTTGCAACACCTAAGGTCTCGTTGAACTTGTTGAAGAACATGCAAAGGCACGTGCTCTCGTCACAGGTTAGCCCTTTGTTGAACCGCATGTCCAAGTTTGTCCGTGTATTGCGATGGGCGTTGCTGCTGCGGGGGACAGCGTGTGAAGTTGTTAGCGACGACGACCCTTGCCTTGGCAATCATTGCAGTGCTGGCTGCGCAAAAGGGTATTGCAATGCTCCAGCAGCTGGCCAACCTAAATGCCACCCGGGTTGGTGGGGCCTCGACCGCTGCAAAACAACGTGCGACTTCGAACATCGGCATTGCGCCAACAGCAATGCTTGCTCTTTGGCTGAGGGCTACTGCTTGCGGCAACCCGGAATGCCGCATCTTTGTCAGCCTGGCTGGTGGAATCCTGGCACGTGTGATCGGGCCTGCCCTGGAAGGTGTGCTGAGGGCAACTGTTCCTTGGCCATTGGTGCTTGCAAGTGCAGACAAGGTTGGACCGGACCGACGTGCGCGGTGCCTGAAGGAAGCATGGACAAGCTGAAGGACTTGGCGGACCACTTCAAAGAGCTTGTTTTCGAGCGTCTCAAAGAGAAGCTGCCAGCTGTTCTAAGGTGCATCTATGATGCTGTGTCCTTCATCAAAAATTTCAACGAGGGCTTGGACTCAATGAAGCAGACCGTGGCAAGCACTGCCGATGCGACGGAAAAGACGTACAAGGAGATCAAGTACGCGCACGATGTGGCTGCTTCTTTTATGGATTCCTTCAAGGATTGCACTGGCGGTGGCGCTGCCTTGAGCAGAGGTTTGGCAAAAGTAGGGTCGGCAGTGGACCGCATGGAGGCTGCGGCGAAGATGGCCTGGGAGGACTTCCGTGACAAGTGGGCAAAGCTGTCGCCTGGCGCGAAGGCGGCTTGGACCACGGCGGGCGCAGCATTCCTCGCGCTTGCAGCCTTGCCGTTGGAGCCAGCGGTGGCACTTGCGAGCCTCGCATCGGCCATGGCGGAAGCACTCGAAGGGGCGGCCGTGCTCCCACCACTTGCAGCGGAAACCACCAAGCAGGCCGTTGGAAGCCTCGATCTTATTCAGGTGTGACAGGCCAGCGAAGTAGTCAGGCAAACGTCGGTTTCTGCAGAGAAACCAGAAAAAGGTTGCAGAGCGTAACCACCTTGGTGCCCCTTTTGGCATTGCGGGAGGAAGCACGGTGCATCCTGACTGCTACGAGGGCGTCTTAAGACCCACCAGGGTTCTGGGCTTATAGGGGGTTAGGGTTTAGGGTCAGTGCTACTCGCACTCACGAAGACATTTGGGAAGTGGGGGGGTTGCAACACCACTGGATACTCCATTTCGGCCCAAAAGTCCGCCATCTTTCGGGATTTGGGGCGGCCTCTGATATCGTATGAGTTCATGCACCTTGGGAGCACCGGCAGCCTTCGGAAGGTTGTGAAATTTGGCGACTCCACAGGTTCGCGACCCCCAGAGCCCTGACCTGACTTAGGCTTCGGGCTTAGGGCTTAGGGTTTAGGGTTTAGGGTTTAGGGTCTAGGTTTAGGGGTGCCGGCTATTGCGGCCGTCGTGAATCGCAAGATCTCCTAAGCAATGCCCCTCCAGCCCTAAACCCCTAAGCCGCGAAACCTCACCCTCAGGTCATCGCGGGCGCTGGGATGAGATGGGGATTCCTCGCTGTCTTGCTAGCGAAAGGAGCATCTTCGTTGCATTCAGATCTTGGAAGGGCAGGGGCCTTTTGCCACTTTATCGTAAAAATAGTTCTTATCGTTTTTTTTGTTACGGTTATTGCTACGTTGTTATTGTTCCTGTTATCGTTATTGTCACTGTTATTGTTATTGTTATTGATATTGTTATTGTTCTTGTTATTGTGATTGTTATTGTGATTGTGATTGTTATTGTTCTTGTTCTTGTTCTTGTTATTGTCATTGTCATTGTCATTGTTATTGTTATTGTTATGTGCTCTTGTTATTGTTATTGTTATTGTTATGTGCTCTTCAGGCATCATCCTTGTCTTGATGCTTGTCGACCTCGTATTGTAGATCCCGGCAAAAGGCGCGTTGTCCAAGAGAGTGTCGTCTCTGCTTGCTTGCTGCATTGTTCAGGCGCTGGGATATGCCGAGACGCACACATTGAGAAGCTCTGTGCTTGACAAAGATGCACCAGAGAAGCCGCCGGCTCAGCAATTAGCAGTTTCGGGTCGCCTTCTTGAGTCGTCACGGCACTATCTTAGCCCAGATTCGAAGCCCCGAGGCGTGAATGATGATGATGGTGGCGGTGGTGATGATGACTATGATGCTTTAACCGCTAACGCGAGGCCGCTGGCAAGGGTACCAAGGCTAATGCGCGGTACGACGGTCTCTAGGGGGGGGTTTGGGGGGTTGGGGGAGGGTGGGGCGTGGGTGCGCGTTTTCACATTCGCCCACCAAGTCCGGCCCAAAATCCCCCCTGGTCACGCCGTCCGCGGTTGGCCTGGGGGGGGGGCGGGCTACTCATTCAAAAAGCTCGGCCGCGCTTTAGAAGGTTCCCTAGACCTGGATCTAAATGCCTCAGGCCTCCCGTCTCGGCGGATTATGTTTGCTCAGTGTTTGCTATAGCCGTTGACGACTCAGCGTATCTTTACTGTCTTGCCACACATCGAAGTGTGGGATTGTTATAGTTTAACTCAGGGAGTCTCCTTGTCCAGGTCTCCGACCCGCACCGAAGAATCCCCTGCAGTGCAAGGAATCCCAGAATCCATGGCCCGGACGTCTCCGGATATCCCATCACTCCATCCCACAAGGTATTGCTAGAGAGCACAACAAGTGCCCGTCGAAATGCTTTGCTCTGGGGTGTGGATGTTTGAAGCGACAGTGGCGTGAGTTTCTTTTTTGCTAATTTGCTGCTTGATCCTGTAAAGCTTGCGGGTTGTTAGTAGGGAAGTAGCAGGGAACTGAGTACCATCTGTCACAAGTCATAAGGGCTTCGATTATGATAACCTGGCTCCCCAAGACTTTTTCTGAAAAAGGCCGGGGCCTTAGGCCGTGTCCTGATGCCGAGGAGACGCAGCCCTTCCCACTCCCTGCAGACGGTCCAAAGCTCCGATCCTTGCATCCTTATGAGAGCGAGCGTGATGCCGATAAGAGTGAGGGTTTAGGGTTTAGGCGGGATGGCAGTAAAACTCGTAGTCATGTTCGCAAGATCTTATCGTTGTTGTGTTTTTCAGGGGAGTTGCTGACTTTGCTGTGTTTTTTGGGATTCAATCTTGTCTTTTGAAAGGGTTTGCTGGTAATTATGATCTTTTCCTGGTTGCTTTATGGTCTGTGCTCTTCGAGGAAGTTTCGAGCCTGTTGCTTACGTCTTGCAGAAGGATTGAAGATGTCATTCCGGTTTCAAATTCAGCAAACTGAAGTCAGAGTCAGGTGAAAACTCGAATGAGTCATTTCTAAATACGAGAAGCGACTCATTCCCGCTTCTGTATCTTTGGTTTACTTTTTCTTCTTTCCGTTGCGGAGAAAACGTCAGCAGCACCTCATAGACCCTCAACCGGCCTTGAAACCCTAGCTGTACATCTCTACAGCCTGAAACGCCCGTAAGCTGCATAAACGCCGCAAAAAAAGTCAGCCTTCGAATCAGTCTAGGCGGAAGCTTTCGTTCGATCTCGTTTTGTTCAGGATGCAGGCAGAGCAAGGGTTGAGTGCTAAGGGGCTTGGGCCGAGGGTTTTCCCTTGACAGGGGTTTAGGTGTTCAGGGGTTTAAGTTTTGGGTTGAGGCGTGGCTCGGACCGATCGGAGGAGTAAATTCTGGTTACAAGGTCTCATATGCCTTATGCTCCTCGCTCCCATTTCATTGCCGAAAGCTCTCAGAAAACCCACCGAACTCAACCCCTACCCCCCAAACCCCAAAGCCTACACCCCCGAGCCCTCAAACCCCGCCGGCCCAAGCCCTAAACCTTCAACCAAGCAAGGTTCGAAACCCTCACCCTGCGACGCCTTAGATTTCTCTGAGCTCAGAAAAGCCCGCGAGCTTAACTCTGCAGTTTAAGCTGCAGGCTTGAGTGCTTTCTTGCGCGCTGTTTATAAGGTTCTTAAGGGAGGGGGGGTTCATGGTAGGGAACCTTCGGGAAGCTTAGGGAGCCTTACGGAGTAGTGGGGAGTATTAGGGAACCTTGGGTTACATTCCCCCCTTGAAGCTTTGTTGGCCCCTGTTCTCCGGTGGCACCGAGGAGGCTGAGATGAGCCAAGCGGTCGCCTGGCGCCTCGACTGCCGCGCGGTGGCGCCCTCCGACCTCATCGAAGCTTCGGCAGCTCCATAGCCTCCTCCTCGAGGAGTTATTTTAGCACAGCACTCTTTGAGTTATCAAATCCACGAGAATATTGCAAATATGAATGTTGCTTGTGGAGCGAAGGGGGAGAGAGACAGTCTTGAAGGGCTTTCATGGAGCAATCGGGATTTTTGAGTTTTTTTTGTTTTTGTGTGGGGGGGGGGTTGGCGGCTCTCCAAGTTGCACAGAATCCCATGAAATGCCTTCTTTATCAGGTAACTCGAATTTTAAACCGACCTTTGACTGATACCCCATTGAAATCCAGCTCAAGCTTAAAAAATCGCAAAGTGTTTGAAAGGATTGCGAGAGTTCGGCTCTGGACTTAAAGACTTTGAGGTTCTCACGTTCCGGGCCAGGGGGCTGTCATCCCGAAGCACGTGGCATGGGGCCCACATGGGGTTGGTTGGTTCGAGGGCTGGTACCTACAAGGGGAGGCTAAGTTACAACACACACACACACACCATATTCCAAGCCTTCCCATCCTCAAACCCGCAACCGTAAACCCCAAAACCCCAAACTTGGCGGGCTCAAGTACCGAGGACTACTGCGGCATGGTCCAGAACATGGGGTGCCCCGGCAGCGCTAGGGGCTTGGGGTTTGGGGCTTCAAGTGAAACAAAAAGATGAGCCCCTCTAAGCCCTAAACCTGAAGCCCCCAGCCCGAATCGCTCAAACCGCACGATGTTGTGTGTATATTTGTTGTTTTTGAAGCGTATGTTTTAGCCCGTTCACTTAGCACAACAACACATGCTGCATATATATGTAACCGTCCAGGCTGAAGGGTTCAATCGCTCACGCACAGCAAAAGAAAGAATGGCTTTGCAGCACATCCTAAAGCTGTCACATTGTCCCCTAACCCAGACCTTTTGACCCTAAACCCCAAACCTTAAACCTTTAAACGCTAGGGGGTCTCCAGGGGTTTAGGGTTGACAGTTGCCCTTATAAGGGACCTAAGCGGTTGTTTGGGGGTTATTTCGGGGCTACTTAGGTATGTAGGGACGATATAAGGTAGTAAGATATAATGGGGGTTATATAGGGGAATAAGATTCAGGGTCCTGTTTAGGGCTTCCTCCTTCTACCCCGTAAAGGTTTTTTTTTGGGTACTAGGGTTTTGTTGCTAGGGTGTTACGGTGTTAGGGTTTTAGGGTTTAGGGTTTAGGGTTACGGTGTTAGGGCCTTGGGGCATTGGCCAGAAAGGTACGCAAGCTTGCCGCTGGTATTTCTGTGGGTTGTTGTGCTCATGTGGCTGCTCAACACTACGGCCGCTCAGCTGAATGCTCTATGATTGCTCTGGGGCGCCTAACCCTAAGCTCTAAGCCTTTCCAGGGACAGGGACGGAAGCTTTGTAGATGGCACCCTTTGTCCGTCCAAGCCCGCGTAAGATGTCGACTGGAGGGGGACCCCTGGCGCGCCTGTGGCTTTGCAGCGAAGTTGTTGCTGCTGTCTCTGCTGTTTTGAAGCTACTTGGAGCTTCATAGTACTTATTAACCATTTATACAGTTATTGATAAGTGTACTGATGACCATATTAGGGCACTTAAGGGCCTTATCAGTGGGTTGTAAGTTATAAGTACAGTTGTAATTGGTTTGATAAGTACCATGAACCTCCAAGTACGCCTGGGAGTTGAGAGTGTAGCCCAGGCCCTGATTGGGTCGCGTGTGATGTCTTCAGGGCGGGTGGGGGATACAGACCTCTCAGCTTCAATGGACCCTTCCACACCATCAAGCGAAAGCCGCCTCGTGCGGAATGTTGCGGCCAGCCACAGATACTGCGCAAGAAGACGCCTTGAACTTAAACCCTCAACGTTGGCATGTTCCCCCTTATATGAAGCAGTCCTGAATAGGGAGTACTGTGCCCCCTAGAAGAATTATTGGAATCCCGATTAAGGAGCTGCTAGTATAAGGGGGAACATCCCAAACCTCAACATGTGGATCACAGCCTGGCTGAGGCTGAAGTCTACTTTGTGCCCCCTTTGGTGCAACCCGTCTGCCTTGCACCGGGAAGCTTTTTGGGGTTTCGCGGCGTTCGGGGAGTTAGGGGCTAGTGTTCACGAGTTTTGGGGAGGTCCTTGGGTCTTAGTGTGTCTATTGGCGGTGGAGCATGGATTCGAGTGCTAAGGCGCGTAGTTTGTGTTGGGTAGATCAGATGCTTGTGCGCAGGCAGCAGTGCGAAGCCACCCTCGCTTCAAGAGCTCCCGAATGCAAGTCCGTACAGTACTTGCTGTACTGTTTCTACGTTTCACCATGAGCGGCATTGTCTTCCAATGTTGTCTCTACGAACCTTATGGCTGCTGCTCTGCGAAGCATGGCATGTGGGGGCTTGCAGGTGCTGCCTCCCGCAGCCCCCTTCCTTCCCTCCCCAAGCCACGCGCGGGCGTTGCAAACCCTGAACCCCAAACCCTCATCCCTTAAGCCCAAACACTGAACGCTGATCCCTGAACCCTGAACCCTGAACCCTGAACCCTGAACCCTGAACCCTGAACCCTGAACCCTAAACCCTAAACCCTAAACCCCCGCCCAGACTCTGAAAGGTACTGGTCTTCGCTGCTGAGCTTGCGACCGGGAATCGCTGGTGCCACCTTCGTCGCCATTGGCAACGGGGCGCCCGACAGCGTGATGATGTTCCTGGCGCCCTGCTCAGAAGTGACCAGCTGGCTTCCAGTACTACTGAAGGGGGTTTAGGGTTTAGGGTCTAGGGTTTAGGGTTTAGCTACTGTGCTTTCATATTTGACGTCATTTTTCTGATTAGACCTATCATTCTCATTCTTCTTAGTTCGAGTCCTTACTCCTCTGTTTTATTCATGTTAATCCGAGAGCCTTGCGGTGCAGAGAACAGAGAACACAACGTAATCATGACTTGCCCTTGCCGAGTTTTTTAGTAGGGAATTGGAATTCGGTACATCGCCTCAAAACCAGCTTCCCGGCTTTGTTTCCGCCATCTCTGGCTGCACCTTAAATAGTCACCCAAACCTGCCACCCCGCCCCTGGACACCTGCCCAAACGGCTGCGAGGCACCGTCGGTTCAGGACGCCTTGGACATGGTGCTCTGCGGCGTGATGTGCGTGGAGCTGAGTCTGTAGGCTGTGTAAGCTTTCAGCAGGTGCGCAAAGCAAGGTTTCAAGGCTGAAGGCTATATTGAAGAGGTTCTCTACCTAGGTCTGGGTAGTTAACTTTTTTAATACCAGTACAAAACGGAGGTTTCGTGGGGTAGGCAATGCAGCTCCTAAGTCCATAGAACCCTGCTAGAAGGCCCGGGCTTCTCCAAGAACCAGGCGTCCGAAAGAATTCAGAGCCATATCCTCCCCCAGGCATCCTCTGCGTGGCCGGGGGCTGTGTCCTCCTGGCTCGGCTACGCCTGCGAGCACGTCTGGCTCCTGGTGGTTCGCATGTTTCCGGCGACGTGCATAAGAAAATCCTTAAAAAAAAATTGTGGGGGGGGGGTGGTTCCCGTAAGTTTTTGGATGATGGTAAGCTGGGGTGTGCCAGCATCCCCCCGGGGCCCCCTCCCCCCCACCCGTAGTTTGGGGAAGTAGTCGGTCATCGAGATCATGACTACATTACTGATGCTCTGCTTCTTCTGATCATCCTTGTCGTACTACCCTAAGCCCTTCACCCCAACCCCTAAACTTCTCCCAAACCCCGCGTCTGGTGTGAGGCGCGGATCGAACTCAGCTCAGTGACAAGGAAGAGGCGCTAGCTGTCTTGAGGGGGATCTCAAGGTCCGTCTAAGGAAGATTGGTATGGGTTCCGACATCCCAAGCCGTTCTACCCAGAAACCGGTCCTAACCCTAAACCCTAATCCCTCAAACCCCTAAATGCCCAAACTCAAGCCAGAAAACTCAGCGGGGTTACCCTAAACCCTAAACCCTAAACCCTAAACCCTAAACCCTAAACCCTAAATTAGAAGGAGATAACAGGCATCCTGATCAAGGCTTGCCTTCGGAAGTCGAGTCTCGGTTCAGCGTAGGGCCTGTGAAGGCCGACACCTCAAGCCCCGCAGCTCTTTTAGGTTTGAAGGTTTGGGGTTTAGGGTTTAGGGTTTAGGGTTTAGGGCTTAGAACCCTTGCGCCCTTAGATCGTCGAGCCCAGTTCGGATCACGGCCGCAGCCACGTCTCACATTCTGATACATAACACCACACTTCCGAGGCCGCCCATTTAGGGATCTCTCTTTCTAAGACTTCGGCTCCGAAGAGGTTGGGTTGCCCCCCAAACAGGAGACATTATGCAGACAACGGGCCATACCGCTCATACTCTCAAGAGCAACCCTTCAACCTGAAAGCCGAAGCTGAACCCTTAAGCCCCAAACCCCAAACCCCAAACCCCAAACCCCAAACCCCAAACCCCAAACCCCAAACCCCAAACCCCAAACCCCAAACCCCAAACCTCAAACCCCAAACCCCAAACCCCAAGCCCCAAACCCTAAACCCTAAACCCCAAACCCTAAACCCAAAACCCTAAACCCTAAACCCTAAACCCTAAACCCTAAACCCTAAACCCTAACCCCGAACCCCCCCGCGGTCGGTCATCGAAAGCTTCCGCAGGCATGCGAGCCCCTGGACCGCCGCGCCTATGCCCTGGCCCTAGCTTAGGGTTTAGGGTTTAGGGTTTAGGGTTTAGGGTTTAGGGTTTAGGGTTTGGGGGCTGACGGTTTGGGGGCTTGCGGTTTGGGGGCTTCGGGGTTTGCGGGTTTCGTGTTGGTTAGGGGTTAGGGGTTTGGGGTTTAGAGGTTCGGGGTTCAGGGTTTAGGGTTTGGGAGGTTTAGGGGTTTGGGGTTGCCGTTTGGGGTTTAGGGTTTCGAGAGACCGTTGCTCCCTTCGTAAAGAGGGTTTGGGAGTGAACCAGACTTCCGCCCAAAAGGCACGTCACGAAGCCTGCACACTAGAACCCAGGGCGTGCATGCCCGAAAAACGCTCAACCCTCAACCTTCAACCCTCAACCCTCAACCCTCAACCCTCAACCCTCAACCCTCAACCCTCAACCCTCAACCCTCAACCTTCAACCCTCAACCCTCAACCCTCAACCCTGACCCTAAACCCTCGGCGCCACTCATCCTCAAGCTTCCGCCCCAGATCAACAATGCCGCGTGGCTTGCTCTGGCGCTGGGCTACATGCTGTGGCTGCTCCGTAGCTGCAGTCAACCCCTCAACACTAAACCCTGGAAAAACCCCAGCCCCTAAACCCTAAACCCCAAACCCGAAACCCTGAACCCTGAACCCTGAACTGTGTTGTGCATCGCCTTGGGTATGACGGCACAGTACGCTTCTTGCGAGCAGCATGGGTCAACTGTTGGCAGCTCCCATGTCCAGATCAACCCAGGCCTCAATGAGAGGAAATTGCCCTCTTCGAAGCACTTGGGCCTGCCGCTGCTCCTGCTGCTCCTGCTCCTGCTGCTCCTGCTGCTCCTGCTGCTCCTGCTGCTGCTGCTGCTGCTCCTGCTACTGTTTCTACGGCTGCTGCTACTGCTACTGCTACCGCTACCGCTACTGCTACCGCTACTACTACCGCTACTGCTACCGCTACTGCTACCGCTACTGCTACTGTACTGCCACTGTTACCGCTACTCATAATGATATTGATAGTTTGCTCTTCTTGTTCGTGGCTCCCTCCCCGATGCGCGGAGGCTGACGACGCGGCGGGTGACGCTGGGCCGGGCGCTGATGATGCCCCTCATGTGCCCCGATCCTAACACGTAAGCTACCTTAAACCCTTCACGTTGTTCACATATTCGGGGGCCCCTTGTAAATATCTTTCAGGCAGAAGCTCTTCCCCCAAACAAGCAAGACTTTCATTGCCAGGTAACCCGATATGAGGTTTTTGAAGGCTCTTGAGTCATTCCCTGTGCATAGACAGACCACGCCAGGTATGTCTGCTACCTGGCGTCCCTCTTCTTGCTCCCAGACAGCTTCACGGCGGGAATGAATGGCCCTCGATCTGAACTCCCCCCCTACCTAAACCTCTAAACCCCTCACACCCTACATCCTTAAAGCAGCCCTCCCCCAAGACCCCCAAAACACCCAAGAGCCCCAAGACCCCCAAGACCCCCACTACAGTACCCACCCCAACACTCCCAACACCCCTAGCACCCCCAACACCCTAAACCCTAAGAGCCTTAAGAGCCCGAATAGCCCTAAACCCTAAACCCTGAACCCCAACCCCTAAACCCTAAACCCTAAACCCTAAACCCTAAAAGCCCCAACACCCCCAACACAGCCACTGAGGCCGCCCGCCCCTGATGGCCCCGTCCGACCTCGGCCCCGCCCCGCCCCTGCCGGGCCTGCAGAAGCCCCCGAAGGCCTCTGGTTTGTTGAGCTTTTGGGGGGGTTTAGGGTTTAGGGTTTAGGGTTTAGGGTTTAGGGTTTAGGGTTTAGGGATGAGGGACATTAGGGATGTTCCAGGTGATTCTTGGATGGCGAGCACAGTCCCAGGACCGGTAGTATGCTTGGAGGTGGGCTGTGGATAGGGTATAGATACCCTATACCCAAAACCAAGAAACCCGAAACCCCTTAAACCCTAAACGCTAAACCCTAAACCCTAAACCCCAAACCCCGAACCCCAAACCCCAATCCCCAATCCCCAATCCCTAAACCCTAAGCCCTAAACCCCAATCCCCAATCCCTAAACCCTAAACCCAACCTTGGGCCCTCAAGCCAGTGAGCAACACTCGTACCGCTGGTGGAGCTGACTGAGAAGCATGAAGCCTCTTGTGGTTTCGGGACTGCTGTGGCCTGACCCTAAACCGGACTTTACCCTCCTGAACTCCGAATTTCCTGAACCCCAAAAACTACAACTACACAACACCACTAAGGCTCTTAAACTCCCAAGCTCCCCAACCTTTTTCGTAGTCTCTAAGCATCAGGGGGACATCGGCCAGCTGGTTCTATGGGCCCTGGCGTGGCGGGGACCTTAGGTGGTGGGTGGCCTTTAGAGGCTCCACTGGCAAGGATGATGCATTGTGGCCATTATTCTGTGAATCAGGTTTCGCATTCATTCAGGGGCAGGTGCATAAGGGGTCTGGACTTTGTCCAGGAAGGACGGACATTCAACCTCACGAGCAAACGAAGCCATTCCTTCTGGAGGCTGTGTCCCCGATGAAAGTCTTTGGGGGCTGTAGGGTTTGGAGCGTTGGGATTTTGAGGGTTTGGGGGGTTAGGCCTGAGAGTTTCTGATGCGTGGTCGCACCCTGATCCCTTTCCCCCAGCTGGAGCTACTCTAATCCCCTGTGAACCCTAAGCCCTTTTATCCCCTGAACCCCTAAGTTTCAGCAACGATGTCTGCGCTAAAAACTTGGTCCCAAAGCCGGGTTTACAGAGCTCGGGGGGTCTTCACTATAGGGCTTTGATCGTTGTTTGTTTGTAAGGCAGGGTTCTGATCATAGGGTTGTGATAGGTTTTTTTGTCGGGCTTCGGTAGGGTTTTTATAGGTTTTGTTTGTAGGGTTTTGAGGGTTTTTTTGATTGGGTTGAGATAGGGATTTGATAGCCTTCACAGGGTTTGGGGGCTCAAAGGGCCCATAGGGCTCATCGGGCCTATGGAGCATTATACGACTTCTAAGGGTTTCCAGGTTACATGGATTGTTTGTTGACAGGTTGACAGTTTGGAGCCCCAGACCCCCCAAAACAAGGCCTACCTACGTGCTGCGTTGGACGTTGATCCCGCCCTCGGACTACTTCTGGGACCGACCGCGGCGCATCTTCTCGCTAGGGCCCAAGCCGGGCTTGCTGAAGAGGGTCGATGGTTGGCTTACACGGGGTTGATCTAAAGATTTTTTCTGGGAAATTTTATAAGGGAGTTATGGGGTATTTGTGGCAACAGGTATTTTGATCGACTTTTTGATGGCCCCGAAAAATGCACCAAATGCACCACAGCCCCCTAACAAAAGGGCCCCAAACAATGGCATCCTAGTTCTGGAAGTCCCAAGAAATTAAAGAGCAGGTTCCCAGAGACTCCAAAAACCCTTAGTTAGGGAATATCCCTCAAATTATACTAGGAACATCTAGGAACCCTAATATGATTTAAGGTATATTCCTTAGTTAAGGGGTTTTGGAGCCTCTGGGTGTTTTCCGGACAGCCCCTCCAGCCGCAGGAGCCTCACGCACTGCTCTCCCGGAGGTAGTGTAGGGCTTAGGGTTTAGGGTTTACTTGGGGTGCTCAGGGTTTTACAAGGTTTATTTTAGGGTCTTAAACCCTAAACCCTAAACCCTAAACCCTAAACCCTAAACCCTAAACCCCAAACCCCAAACCCTAAACCCTAAGGTAGGGCCGGCAGGTGTAGTTGAGATCCTTTAGCTTCGAACTGGGAAGCTCAAGGAGCCTGTCCCCGGTGGCCGTGCTGCTCTTCTGCCTGTGGAGCTATGTCGGGGGCCTAATGCCCCACAGGGGGGGTTTAGGGTTTAGGGTTTGGGGTTTAGGGTTAGGGCAAAAGCTGCCCTCCCCTCCCCCTTCCCCCCCCCCCTCCCCCCCTCCCCCCCTCCCCCCTCCCCCCCCCTCCCCCCCTCCCCCTCCCCCCCTCCCCCCCTCCCCCCCTCCCCCCCTCCCCCCCTCCCCCCCTCCCCCCCCTCCCCCCCTCCCCCCCTCCCCCCCCCCCCCCCCTCCCCTTCAACGGCCTCAGCTGCAGCCTTGACCCGGAAAATGACCTAACCCTAAACCCTAAACCCTAAATCTTAAACTCTAAACCCTACAGCGCTAGACATCTAAAAGAGGTCATTGGGGTTGTAAAGAAAACCTAAACTAAACCCTCTAGCTTCAAGCCTCACGGCTCTTCTAGAGCGAGCTTCTGCCCTCCCATCCAGGATCTGGGTTTGCGCTGGTGCGAGCGGGCCCCAGACCGAAGCTATGGGCCGTTTTGGGGCTGGGATGTTTCGCTATAGAGCGTCAGCCCCAAACCTAAATTAGACCTTAAGCCCTGCAACAAATTTTAAGCTCAAGATAGACCCCTTAAACCCTACACCCTCAACCCTCAGCTCCCGCAAACCATCTTAGCCCCCTTCAACGTTCAAGCACCGGAAGCAGTGGGGGTTTAGGGTTCAAGGTTGAGGGGGCCTATTTTCGATCAAGATCAAGAATGCTGTCACCAGGACAGTTCCGAAATAATTGAGGTCAGGGACAGCATGCCGCCCAAAACGCAGAAAGTCCGAATGGGTGTCTTGAAAAAGATCGCAAAATACCCTGAACCCTAGACCCTAAACCCGAAGCCCTAAACCCTAAACCCTTAGACACCAGCATTCCCATAAGGTACCCCCACCCGACTCTCGGAACCCCACCCGTAAAGACATCCCCTAGGTTCAAAGACCCCAAACCCTAAAACCTAAAACCTAAACCCTAAAACCTAAACCCCAAACCCTAAACCCTGAACCCTAAAAACCTAAACCCTCCATCCTACACCCTAAACCCTAAACCCTCAACCCTCACATTCCCCTAGGTGCAAAGCCCGGCAACCATCGCCGTGACCCTGGTGGCTGCGCTGGCGGCCGCGGGCATCTTCCTGTCGAGCGACGACGGGCCTAAGGCGCGTTTCGACAAAGGGTTTAGGGTTTAGGGTTTAGGGTTGAGGGTTGAGGGTTGAGGGTTGAGGGTTGAGGGTTTAGGGTGTCCCAAAGCCTGAAGCGTGAAACCCTCAACCCTTAACCACCCTAAGCCTGAAGCCCGAAACCCGAAACCCTAAACCACCCTAAGCCTGAAACCTTAGACCACCACGTCCAGGGCTTTGGCCCGGGGTTTATGTTGAGGGGTTTAGAAGTGGTGAATTGTAGGGCCTGAGGCCTGAGGGGCATCTGGGATTCAGATCTTCTAAACTATTGGCTTCGAACCTTTGGGCGCTGATGCTTGAGCCGGTCTGCAGTGCTCTTTAGGATAGGGTCTGAGATGCATTTAGTCCAAGGGTCCAAGGTTGGAACCACGGGCCCTTAGTGTGGTCCCTCGTCTTGGCCCTCGTTATACGTGGCGTGTATAAGGGTCATTAAGGGCCCATACTTCGGATCCCGTATCTTACCAAAAAAGTGAGCAGACCCTGAACCCCAAACCTGAAAACCCTAGACCCCAAACCCTAAACCCTAAACCCTAAACCCTAAACCCTAAACCCTAAACCCTAAATCTTAAACCCTAAACGCCAAACCCTAAACCCCAACCCCTAAACCCTGAACCACCAAAACCCTTTCGATGGACTCTCGAGCTTCGGTCCTCGGCCGTAGGGGTTTATTTAGGGGTTTAGGGTTTAGGCCCAAATACTAGGATGCCCTTACAGAAAGGACCCCAATAAGGTACCCCTGGTATCGTACCCCCCACCCCCATACGATTGGCTTTGAAGGCTAGCGCGGCAGTCTGTAGAAGTCGTCGCGCAGATCCAAGCAAACAGCTGGCTGGCCTCCGTTCCTGCAGAAGCTGGCCCATTTCCTAAATGGTTTCGGCAGGCTATGGTCACACTGTGCTTCTCCGAAGTGACGGCCATGTTGTCGCTGTGGGACTGAGATCGTACGGACAGAACGATATTCCACCTTTGCCTTTGCACGGGGGCGCCACATACACTCAAGTTTCTGCAGGTTTTTATCACACAGTGCTTCTCCGAAGTGATGGCCAGGCTGTTGGGTGCGGAGAAGCTTCTGACGCTCGGCACGAGATTCCGCCTTTGGATGTGGGAGTGAAATACATCCAGGTTTCTGCAGGTTTTTGCCACACCGCATTTCTCCGCAGTGACGGTCGTGCTGTTGCGTGCGGAGAGGATCGCGACGGACGGTGCAGCATTCCCCCGACTCCTGAGAATGTGAGGTACACCCAGGTTTCTGCAGGCTATCGTCACACCGTGCTTCTACTGAGTGATGGTAGTGCTCTTGCGTGCGGGTTCAATGATTTGTGGACAATGCGACATTCCACCCTTGACTGAGGGCATTACATACACCCAAGTCTCTGCAGGTCATCAGCATACAGTGCTTCTCCGCAGTGACGGGCGTGTTGCTGCGTGTGGGTGCACTGATGACGGACAATGCGACATTCCACCCTTGGATGACGGCGTGCGATACACCCAGGTTTTTGCAGGTGGTATTCATACGGTGCTTCTCCGAAGTGATGGCCATGTGGTTTCTTGCGGCATGAGTACTCTGGGACGATGCGACATTCCACCGCTGAGTCGGGGACTGCGATATACCCAGATTGCTGCAGGTGCTGCTCATACAGTGCTTCTCCGCAGTGATGGCGAGGCAGTGGCTTGTGGATCGAATCAATATGGGCAGTGTTCTATTCCGCCCCTGAAATCTTGGTGTGGTTGGCTTTGGCCCTCACCCGGCCGCCTTCGATACATTGCTGATGTGAAGTCAAGTTGAGGTGCGTGTCCGGCACATCCTGCAGCGTCTTTTTTCCCCTTCGGATGACGCTACGCTGCTATCACGTGGATTTGGGTGCGGACGGGATTGACCTGCTGCTCTTGAGGACCCGTGGACTTGAGATCTTGCCATGAGGACCTCTATTCACCTGGCACTTGAGTTGGACCTGGACAGGCAGCTCCATATGAAGCAGGGTTTATATTGCTGTTACTGGTGAGTGTATATAAGGTTCCTTTAGTATTCGTGAGTGCATATATTGGGTGTCCTTTTGGGGACGCAAGGAATATAAACCCTACTTCATATGGCCTTGCTGGATGGTCAGATAATTAGACGGTGTTTGCAATGCAGATGTGTGAAAATCACACTCGACCGTGTGTTCAACGCATGAGATGGCGTGAACAAGACATCTGCAGCTTGTTTGCCATGCCGTTCAAGACATTTGGCGCCCATGGTAAATGTAAAGTGTCGTACATGAGTTCATTTTTCCCAAGTATTCGTTTGTTTGAATTATACTTGATACGGTCATTTTGCAGGTGCCGTACAACAGTGATTCAGACAGTTCATCACGGTGTGCCAGCTGAGTTCCCTGCATGTTGACCCTTGCCCCTCTAATCGTGACGGAGCGACATCTCTGTTAAACTGCCAATCGTCTTGGCCCCGAAAGAAGTTGGCAGGAAGGTTTGGAGAATTGAAAGGTGCAAAGTTTGCGAAGTGTAAGTGGAGCACGTGGTGTGCAGGTCAGACTTTAATGCATACCTGGGTTTAAGCTGCATTGCATCAGCACCAATGCGGGTTCAATTTTGGAACGGACCATCTCCCATTCCACCAGCCCCCACAGACGTTAGGCTTCATAGTGTAACATGTGGGGTCGGAATCAGTACCAATAGTATTCCCGTATGGCCCCAACCCTATTCTAACTAATAAGGCCCCGTATTTACTAACGGTGTCATACAGGCCATGTTGGCTCAGGCCACGGTTAAGGCCGTCCATTCACATGACGGTTGATCTCATAAGGGCTCCGACAAATCAGTCATGTGGGGCGGGGCGCTTTCTTGTCAGTCCTGCGCATCAGATTATCCAAGGAGCTGGGGTTTCGCAATGTAACGCGCTTGAGAGGTGATAAACCCTTTGGGCTCTGTGGTGCTGGGGTTTAGGGGTTCATGAAGCATTTGGGCTTCGGAGGGCTTAGCTAGAAAGGAGCCTCACATTTGCTTGAGGTGCCGGCCGTGTACCCTGCGCCCCTCGGTGCTGGGCTGGTCTTTGGGGGTTTCCCGAAATTAGGGGTACCTTACTGGGATCCTTATCTTAAGGGAACCTTACGATCTGGGGGGTCTATACTAGGGCCCCTATTTTCGTAAACCCCTCCTCAAGAGACTCCGAGCTCCGGGGGGCTCTTGGGGAGCTTGAGGAGGCTTCCGGTCAGAATGGTTCCGGGTTTCGCTTTCTTGGGGCCCTGTACCCCAGGCCAGGGAATGCAAGTAGCAAGCGGGCGCCCTACAGTATGGTGATTTTCGTTTTTGTTGGGGGGGACCCCTGTGCAAAGGGCCCGTGTTCTCATAGGTACTCCCTTGAAAGGGAGCATGATGTGGAGAGCTGAGCAGCTGAAAGTCGCATGGCCTTGCTCGGTTCGTACCGGGACCCTTCCGTCCATGCTGAACCCTGAACATCCCCCGCCGAAAGAGTTCGATGTCTTGCAGGTTTCCACAACCCTGTCTCCAAACTGAAGGGGGACCCCTCCGATCCTACTCTGAGGACCACGCTTCTGGCAAAAGCTTCCTCTGCCCACGACTCAGCTGTTCACCCTGCCCAAAGCCTATCACCCAATGCCCTTGAGCCGAAACTTCGCCTCGAAGACCGCACACCTTGCGCAGGGGAAGACTGACACAGTCCCAAACATTATCTTCAAGCAATTCGGTGAGCAGAATATGGGGCCCTAAGAGGTAGTGATGTCGTTCAGGGCACAGTGCCACATGTATCGAGATGAAGATTCTGTGCGGACCAGCCATGGGACAGGGTCCGCGGGAGGGGAAGGCGTGCCAAATGTCGGCATAACCCTAAGCCCTAAACCCTAAACCCTAAACCCTAAACCCTAAACCCCGAAACCCACAATTCTTGAGGTGCTCTTCCTACTGGCCGTGGCCAAGGAGCTCACGAGCTGCTGCAAGACCGTGGCTTTCTACCTGGGTGTGCCGCAGCCTCGGAATGGGGGTTTAGGGTTTAGGGTTTAGGGTTTAGGGTGTAGGGTTTAGGGTTTAGGGTTTAGGGTGTAGGGTTTAGGGTTTAGGGTTTAGGGTGTAGGGTTTAGGGGTTAGGGCTTAGAGACTTGGGAGGTTTGCTGGTTTAGGCATGAATATTTTCAGGAGCTGCAAGACTCTGCTCCTAAACCCCGAACCCAAAAACACCCCCCCCCCTACCCCCTTCCCCGCAAGAAAAGCCCCCCAAAAGCTGCAAAAAACACCCCAACAACACCCCAAAAAACCGCAGAAAAACGCCAAAAAACCCCAAAAAACCCAGATCCCCCCCAACTCAAAAGATTCCCGTGCCAGGTCGCGCTTCGTGCTGGAGAGCACGGTGGTGCCCTGGGGCAACTCCCTGGGAGACATCGTGACCGGCATCGCCTCTTGGCTTTCGGGGACTCCACAGGTCTCTAACTATATAACAAGAAAAGAGAAACATGTGCTGAATTAATATCGGATGTATAATGTAAACCTAAAAAGATTCCTGTAACGATTTGTAAGAACATAGTATTTCCTCATAAAACACCAATATTCCCAAACAAGTTATAATGAAAGGACAAGGAATTGATAGTAAATGAGATTTCATGAAAAACGGTAAAATGGGTGGGTTTAGGCTTTCGGGCTTGTAGGGTACATGGCCTTTAGGCTTCAGGGTACAGGGGTTAAGGGTTCAGCTGTTGCTTTTTTGGGTGTGTGGTTTGTTGTCTTTGCCACGGCTGGTGGCTAGTGCAGCTATTGACAGCCAGGGTTCTGCATGCAGCCTTCGTACAAGTCCTGGCGCCCTAAGCCCTAAGCCCGAAACCCTTCACCCCCAAAACCTAAACCCCTAAGCCCTAAACCCCAAGCCCTAAGCCCTAAACCCTAAACCCTAAGCCCTAAGCCCTAAACCCTAAAACCCTAAACCCTAAACCCTAAAGCCCTAAACCCTGAACTCCTACAACCCGAAGCCTGTGGGGATTTCTGGTCCTCAGGCCATGGTCCGGCAGGCGCGTTGGGTGAGGAGTGGGCAGATTGTGGGTCAAACAGCTTGAGCCCAAGGGTTTAGGGTTTAGGGTTTAGGGTTTAGGGTTTAGGGTATGTACAATAGTAGAGTATGCAAGTAAACAAGTACACACACAGAGATACATATACATAAACACGCGCACACATATACATGTACATGTAGATAGAAGTAGTAAAGGTAAATCGACAAATGCATATTGATGAAGGGCACAGGGCTTTGGGTTTAGCGTTCGTGACCCTGAGTTCAGCAAGCCGGGTCTGCATTGCATGGCGTTCCAACTTTTCTATTGAGGGTGTAGGGCGCACACGTCACAATTCTATATTCAACTGAGCTGAGTCAGTTGCGTAGGGCTAAACCCTAAACCCTAAACCCTCAACCTCAAACCCTAAACCCTAAACCCTAGACCCTGAACCCTAAACCCTAAACCCTAAACCCTAAACCCTAAACCCTAAACCCCTAAACCCTAAACCCTAAACCCTGAGGCACATTGGGGTTCACGGATGCCACCGACCTTCCCCAGCGCTGCCAGGCTCAGTCTCAGGCGGCGGCCACTGCGCTGTTTGCTGGGCCACTGCTGCTTGGGCGCTTTAGGGTTTAGGGTTTAGGGTTTAGGGTTTAGGGTTTAGGCGCAGTTTTTTTGGTTCAGCAGCCGCATCCTTCAACCACAGCAGGCTGATGATGCCCATCCGCCTTAACAACTTCGCACCGTCCCAAACCCCTAAGCCCTAAAGAAACTCAGAAACTCGCAAACCCCCAAACCCCAAACCCCAAACACCCCCCTTTGGGCACCTTGAAAGACGCGAGCTCGGGGCGGGCCCTCAGTTTCCCCCAGCGTCCGCCCAGGTTTAACCTCCTGGTCGGTGCAGGTGCGTGCTTCTGCCTGGACCTGTATACAATACCTGTGTTTTGCTTTTGTTTGTTTGCTGCTTCTGCTTTGCCCCTTTTCCTATTCTGCTTGCATTTGTATTGTCTTGTTACTGGTGTGGGTACTGTGACACATGCGTATTCACAGGCACGTCAGCTTGCTTGTTGCTTGGGTACCCAGGGCCACGTAAGCGCACTAGAAGCCCCAAAATCCGTAAGCCCCATGAAGCCACAAAAGCCTCCATCCCAATGAAGGGTTTGGCCGTTTTAGCCACCTTCTTGGGCCCGCAAATGGCCTGTGAGCTGAATATTTTACAAGGGTTGTTAGGGGTTTTGAAGGGCTTGGGTGTTTTGGGCTTTAAGGTTGGGAATTAACAGTTTAGTGGTTTAGGGTCGATTCCTTCAGCTTGTCTTCTTTCTGGAATGATGTGTGGCATCATGTAGTCGTTAGGGGTTTAACGGGTTTAGGGGTTTAGGGGTTTAGGGGTTAGGGGTTAGGGTTTAGGGTTTAGGGTTTTGCTTAGCTGATCCTAAGCCCTGAACAACCCAGATCCAGCTTTGAACCTATGTATGGATCCAGCAGATTCCCCAGGCCATTGCGCGGCAGGTCTCTCTAAGTTCCTTCAGGTTTTTTCCCAAAATCCTAAACCCTAAACCCTAAACCCTAAACCCTAAACCCTAAACCCTAAACCCTATGACGAGCTGTGAGGTGTCTCCATGCTCCTGGTCACTGTGCAGAGGCGCGGGGCCTCCTCGTTTCCCACAGGGGTTTAGGGGTTTAGGGTTTAGGGTTTGGGGTTTAGGGTCTGCCAATATGGGGGCTCAGAACCTATCCCTAAACTCCAGAACCCTAAGCCCCAATCCCTGAATTCTGAAGCCTGAAATGCACCAGGGGCGATGCTGTCGTCATTGCAGATGAGAGCTACCCTTCGCTGATGATGCAGGCGATCGACTCTCTGGAAAATTCAGGGTTCTGGGTTTAGGGTTTCAGGCTTCAAGGTTGAGGGTTAGGGTTTAGGATGGTTTAGGGTTTTTAAGGTTTTGGGGTTTGCTGGGTTTGATAGAGCTTGGGTTTAGGATGGTTCCATAATCTCGTTGAAATTAAAGCTGGAAGGCCCTTAATTCCTTGCTGGTTGGCGAGCAACGTATTGGGGGCTAGTTTTGGGAGTAGGTATGTGGGGAGGATATAACCCTCGCCGCTTGTGTACGATGAAAACCCTAAACGCGAAGCAAGTAGAGGATATTCCTAAAGTCGCAATCTACGGACTATGTATGAATATTTTCTCAAATCCTCTACTTATCTTTCTTGGAAGCAGTTCCCTAAATTATGGTCCCTTTTTGGGTACCTTCGGGGCAGCCTTATTGTAAGGACCCCCAAAAGGGACCATATTTTCCAGAAGTGACTACTATTTGCTGTGTCCCCCAAAAAACAAAGATAATAATCCCTATATTGCCCTTACAAGGAAGAATGTTTGCTATTTTTTGGGGGGGTTCTTCAGCAAATAGTAGGTGGCCATGGGGCAGCAGTTCCCTTAGTTGGGGCATCCGTCTTTTGAGTTTTTTCAGGCGCGGAGTACTTCCTGAGTCCAGGGTCCCTAAACCCTAAACCCTAAACGCCAAACCCTAAACCCCAAGAAACCCTAAACCCTGAACTCAGTCAAGGGGCGGTGGGAGTCTGTGAAAGCTCAACCTGGATTGCTCATGGCAATTTGTTGAGCCCTCAGCCAGCCCTAAAACCTAAACCCTAAACCCCAAACCCTAAACCCTAAACCCTAGACCCTAAACCCTAAACCCTAAACCCTAAACCCTAAACCCCAAAGCCCAAACCCCAAACCCGAAAAGAAGTGAAGGGCTTGTCAGGGTGGTTGTTTGGGGAGAAGTGAACTTGGAGGTTCTTGGTGCTTATTGGCAGAAATCAAGACTGCACTTATAAGCGTATTAGGGCACTTACGCGGCTTATAAGTACAGTTATAAGTGCAGTCATAATTGGTTAATAAGCACCATGAACCTCCAAGAAGGGCTTCTCAGGGTTTTGGGCTGTCAGGGGTCTGAGGGTCTAGGAGTTTAGGGTTTAGGGTTCAGGGTTTGGGGTTTAGGGTTTGGGGTTTAGGGTTTTAGGGTTTAGGGTTTCAGGGTTTAGGGTTTAGGGACTTAGGGTTTGGGGTTTAGGGTATGGGGTTTAGGGGTTTAGGGCTGAGGGCTCATCCGATTTTTGTGTGGCAGGTGGGCTGCATCGCCGTGGCCGCCTCGGCGTTGGTGCTCGCCTTCGCTTTCGAGAAAGAGGCGGTTGCGCAATGGCATATTATTTTGGTGGGTTTATTAAAGTTTATTATCGCATTACTGCTTTTTTTTAGACATGTCGGAAAGTTAGTATTCGTATTCTTATAGGTGGGTTGATTGTAGTATTGCCATCGTTTGTCATTAGTAGTTATTAGGTCTTCCCGAACCTGCTGAGGGGGGGGGGGATTTTGAAGCCTTCGCCCTCGGGTCCTAAACCCCAAACCCCAAACCCTTAACCGTAAACCCTAAACCCTAAACCCCCTTTGTTAAGTTTTAGGGATTTCAGGGTTCTCGAGCTGTAGGGTCTTGCGGTTTCAGGGCCTCGGGCTTCTTGTCGGCCTGGATGCTGCGCCTTGTTGCAGTTTTTTGGGTGTGGAGTTTGGGGATGCAGACCCTCGACAGGGTGGCACATTGTGGCCCGTGGCCATGTGGTCCATCTACATGGTCTTCATCGTAGGTGTCGCTTGGCTTCTTGAGACGGGCAAACCGACCCTGAGCCCGCCAAACCCATTGAGGGTTTAGGGTTTAAGGGTTTTAGGGTCTTAGGGTTTCAGGGTTTTAGGGTTTTAGGGTTTTAGGGTTTTAGGGTTTCAGGGTTTCAGGGTTTTAGGGTTTTAGGGTTTTAGGGTTTTAGGGTTTTAGGGTTTAGGGTTTAGGGCATGTGGCTCCTCTAGCCCCTTCGCACCCCCGAAAGCCAGGGAGCCCCAAATCCTATAACCCTCATCCATAAACCCTCCCTTTATTCAGGAAGACCTGTACCTTAGTTCAGAGGACACCAACAAGGAAGTACCCACCTTATGTGAGAGTTCAGGGGCTTCTTCCCTCTTCCCTCTTCCCCAGCAGCTATGTGGGCTAACGCTGCCGGAGACCCACCCAAACCAGAAAGACCCTTACAACCCTAAAAGCCTAAAACCCTAAACCCTAAACCCTAAACCCTAAACCCTAAACCCTAGACCCTAAACCCTAAACCCTTATCCCTTAACCCTTAAACCCTAAACCCTAAACCCTAGACCCCCGAGGTCGTCATGGCGGAAGTGGACCTGCGCCTGTCGGGCCAGCCGGCAGCCCAGCGGGCTCGTGCCCCCCCAACCCCTCCTGCAACTCCAACTCTAACCCCCCCCCTCCTCTGCACCCTTGAGAAAGCCTAAGAAAGCCCAAGAAAGCCAAAGAAGGCCTAAGCAAGCCTAAGAATGCCTAAGAAAGCCGAAGAAAGCCTAGGAAAGCCTAGGAAAGAAAGCCTAGGAAAGCCCAAGAAAGCGTAAGAAACCCCAAAACCTCACGAAAGCCTTAAAACCCCAAAGGCCATGAGACTCTCCCAAAAGTCCTGAGCACCCTCAAGTGGCCCTGAAAGCACGAGAACCGTTTAGGGTGGCGAAGCGGGATGCCAAGGTCAAAATAAAGAAGACATGCAAGGGCCTAGCGGTGCATCATGCTGCCTTGAGATGTGTATAATGAGCTGGGATTCAAGGGTTTAGGGTTTAGGGTTTAGGGCTGTGCTGTTGCCAAACACTGCCAGGTGAGTGTGCGCCGCCTCCGCCAAAGGGCAGTTCAAGTATGGCGCACCCCCACGAAGTGGGCAGGGTGTAGGGTTTAGGATTATGGGGTTATAGGGGTTTTTAGGTTTAGGGAGTTTAAGGTTTAGGGGTTTGGGGCGTGTGGCTTACTCATGTGTGTTTATAGCTAGTTCGAGGTTGAGTGGGGGTTGATTAAGGAAGGGGTTATCGTTTAGGGCTAGTCGCGTCGAGGCCGTACAACGGATATCCTTTCAAGAGAGGAAAAGCTTTCGGCGCGCGAAATCGACAGGAAACAGTTTGTGGTCTGGGGTTCATGCTCGGAAGTGAACAGCGATTAAAGCTAAGCAGTACTGGTGCAATCACGCACACACTGTGTGTGTGTGTGTCTGGCAAATATACCACTTCCACGAAGCATGCAACCCTAAACCCTAAACCCTCCCTAAACCCTAAACCCGAAACCCTAAACCCTGAAACCTCAGCCCAAGACCCTAAACCCTAAACCCTAAACCCTAACCCTACAGGCCGTGCTGGGTACCTCCTGTCTTTTTCGACACCAAACACTCGGCAATCTTGGGTGCCTCCAGGCCTTGCCACAAGAAGTCTCCAAGGAGCAGATTGGCTTTCACCGAAGCCCTAAATCAGAACTTCTGCTTTGGGGTTTAGGGTTTGGGGTTCATGTAGTACGTCCCCAAAAGCCCAAGAACCCAAAACCCAAAGCGTCGCCACAAACCCGAAACCCCAAACTCCATACCCCTAAACCCTAAACCCCAAGCCCTAATGAACCCCAACCCCTAAACCCCAAACCCTAAACCCCCAAACCCTAAACCCCCAAACCCTAAACCCTAAACCCTAAACCCTAAACCCTAAACCCTAAACCCTAAACCCCAAACCCTAAACCCTAAACCCCAAAGCCGCTGACTGCCATGGCCCCCACGGGGGGCCTTTTGGCTCCCCTTGCCGGGTGCGGGCCCCCAGGGGGCTCCGTGTGGGGCTTGAAGGGCGTTTGTGGGGTTTAGGGTTTAGGGTTTAGGGATTAGGGATGTTCAGAGCTTAGGGATGTTTAGGGTTTAGGGTTTAGGGTTTAGGGGTTAGTTAGGGTGTAGGTCTAGGTTTTTGTTTTAAAGGCTGCTTTTGGGAAGAGTTCGGGCACATCGCCCTTTCCACTCTCGGCAGGGTTGAGGGCCTCGCAGAGTCCCAAAACCCTCAGCGAACTCTGGACCCCTCCCTAAGCCCCCAACCCGAAAGAAAAACCCTAAACCCTAAACCCTAAACCCTAAACCCTAAACCCGAAACCCTAAACCCTAAACCCGAAACCCTAAACCCTAAACCCTAAACCCTAAACCCTAAACCCATGGTAGCCCTCTGCTTCAGCCGTCAGCTCAAGCTGCGTTGGGGTTGGCGTGTTGGGGTTGCCGTTCGAGTTTTTTTTTTGTCGGGTTCAGGGCTTCTGGGGGTGTAGGGTCGATGAGGGTGTATCTTTACTCTCAGCCCTGAAAAATGAACACAGAATCCCAGACCCTGAGCCCTAAACCCGAAAGCCTAAACCCTAAACCCTAAGCCCTAAACCCTAAACCCTAACCCTCAACCCTAAACCCTGAACCCTGAACCCTAAACCCTAAACCCTAAGCCCTAAACGAACATGTCTCAGGTCCGCTTCCACCAGCTTCTGGGCAGTGAAGTGCGTGCGGAGCCCAGCAGACCCTGCTGGGCTTTTGGCGCATACCCTGACCACCGCCCCTAAAACCCGAAACAACCCTAAACCCTAAACCCAAAACCCTAAACACTAAACCCAAAAACTGTAGACCCTAGGTTTCCTAAAGTGGCAGTTCTCTAAATTAGGTTTCTTTCTTGGGTCCTCTTTTTCAAGGGTGCCGTTCTATATAAGGGACCTAGAAAGGGACCCCTTAGCTAAACCACTTGGAGGTTCATTGTACTTAGTAACCCAAGTATAACTGTACTTATATCCCAATTATCACCCCATTTGGGTCCTGAAGGGGCTTACATCAAGATGTGGGTTCTAGCTACACTTATAATGGGTTACTAAGTGCCCTGAACCTCCAAGTACTCACATGGTCTGCTGCCAGGCACCGGGGTTCACCTGCGTCTCCAAGCTGACGTCCTTTCCCCTGGGCCGGGACCTTTCCTGCTGCTGCCGCGCTTGCTGCCAGGGCTTCGGGTTCAGGGTTTCGGGTTCAGGGTTCAGGGTTCAGGGTTTAGGGTTCAGGGTTCAGGGTTTAGGGTTTAGGGTTCAGGGTTTAGGGTTTAGGGCCTTTTGGTGCAGCAGCACTCGGCGACCTGTCCTCAACTCCTCAGCTCGCCTCGAGGCCACGATGGGGTGTACCACTCCCCACACGGAGTCAAGTCGCTGGGCTCTTGGCAAGCCGAACACCCTGAACCCTGAACCCTAAACCCTAAACCCTAAACCCGAAACCCTAAACTAAACCCTAAACCCTAAACCCTAAACCCTAAACCCTAAACCCTAAACCCTAAACCCCAAACCCTAAACCCTAAACCCTTAACCCTAAGCCCTAAACCCGAAGCCCGCCTGAGCCTTCACGGGCCTCAGAGCACTCGAAGACCTAAGCCCCTTCACCTTGCCAAGCCCTAAGCCCACCCGAACTCCCCTAAACCCCCTGAACCCCCTGAACACCCTGAACGCCCTAAACCCTTGACCCTAAGTCCTCAGAACACCTACACCTAAACCCTACACCCTACACCCTAAACCCTAAACCCTAAACCCTACACCCTACACCCTACACCCTAAACCCTAAACCCCAAACCTTAAACCCTAAACCCTAACCCTAAACCCTAAACCTTCAACCCTAAACCCTAAACCCTAAACCCTATCAAGCCTACAAAAAGCCCACAATCCTCTCGCAGCCTCAAGGATGGAACCGTCGGACCCCGACCGCTTCCGCGATTGGCTGCAGACCTACGAGGCCTCGGAGCACCGAATTAGGGTGTCGGGTTTCGGGTTCAGGGTTCAGGGTTTGGGGTTTAGGGTTTCGGGTTTAGGGTTTACGGTTTGGGCCTTGGGTTTCGGGAGTTTTGGAGTTTGGGGCCTTAGGGGTTTGGAGTTTGGGGTGTAGAGTGTGGGAGTTTGAGGATTGGGAGTTTGGGTTTTAGGATTTTGGAGTTTAGGAGTTTGGGGTTGAAGCTGTAGGGTTTGAGAATGTTTGGGAGATCAGGAGTTTAGGAGTTCAGGACTTTAGGGCGGTTTAGGGGCTGATGTTGTTCATGTTTTTTCGTTTCTTGGTTTCGGGTCTACGTTCTTGCTGCTTGCTTGGGGGAATTCGGGGTTCAGGGGTTTAGAGTTTCTGTGGTTTCGTGGTATCCAAGACTTCGGGGTGCAGGGAAGGAGAGGATGCTCCCCCTAAACCCCAAGCCCTAAACCCTAAACCCTCAACCCTAAAACCATAAAACCCTAAACCCTGTTTTGCAGCGCCTCTTTGTTTCAAGCACCAGTCAGCAGCAATCTCTCAACTTGCACTTTCGGGCTGCCGTATGCTCAAGGCATCCCGGCGGTCAGAGTGTAGGCTTCCCATGCACAGAGATCGCGCAGATGGCCCAAGCCATGCAGGTTACGGAGAGCTCATGGAATCGTGAGTTGAGAAAAGTCCGGCGGTTGCGACAAGCTCATGCCCGACAGCAGGACAAGATGTTGATATGCAGCCTCAAAGAGCGGGTTTTACACCTCGAACTTGAACTTCAACAGGTTAAGAGCCTTGTGGCTCACGCTGAGACAGGGGTGGTGGGCAATGGCGACATAGACAGCGTGAGATTGAATGTTGGACGAGGACGAGGTGTGCCGGGGGGAGGCAGGAGGACACTCCAGATGATGGATTATGAACATACGCAAGCAATCGCTCCGGAATCAGTCGCTTGCCGAGGTACACCTGCATCACAAGAGTCAGCCGTTCTGAAGCGAAAGCAAGCCGAAGCACCTTCGGTACGGAGCTCTGGGGTTCAGACTGTGACGCAGGATGTCCGCCGACATGGTCAGACGTACCTGGTGCAACCTCTGCGTGATAACCTGTGGACATGGAAGGAAGCCGCGATGTCACTGACGGAAGCATCGTCTCCATTCCTCGAGAGCTTTTACTACAACATGCATGGAGACGGATGGGACGGTAGCGCAAGACAGCACGGCGAGTTCTACATAGGATCCGATAGTGATAGTGAGGAACAAGAAGGCCTTTCGATGGAAAGATCTGAGGCCAGCGCTGGTGGCTAGGGCGGCGGGAGCTGATGATGCACTGCAAGTGATTTCGCAGGCCTCGCCCTGCGGTCTGCGAAACGGGGGGTGTTTTGCAGCGCCTCTTTGTTTCAAGCACCAGTCAGCAGCAATCTCTCAACTTGCACTTTCGGGCTGCCGTATGCTCAAGGCATCCCGGCGGTCAGAGTGTAGGCTTCCCATGCACAGAGATCGCGCAGATGGCCCAAGCCATGCAGGTTACGGAGAGCTCATGGAATCGTGAGTTGAGAAAAGTCCGGCGGTTGCGACAAGCTCATGCCCGACAGCAGGACAAGATGTTGATATGCAGCCTCAAAGAGCGGGTTTTACACCTCGAACTTGAACTTCAACAAACCCTAAACCCTAAACCCCAAACCCTAAACTCCAAACCCTAAACCCCAAGCCCTGAACCCGGCACCTTGCGCCAGGTCGGCTGCCCGGCGCGGGCCTCGGAGCCTGCACGGTTCACGGGTTTCAGGGTCCAAAGAAGGGCCCCCATGAACCATAACTTTTATGACGTTATGGGGATTATGCTTCTTTTTATGATGGTGCTAATAATAAAAATAAAAATGATAATAATAGTAATAATAATGACAATGATAATAATAATAATCGTAGTAAACTCCCCAACCCTGAGCTACCATAGCCCAGGCCCGGGGCGAGATGACCGCGGTCGGAAAGTGCAAGGACCCGCTTTCGGGCTTTTTTTGTGGTTGTAGGGGCGGTTTGGGGTTTAGGGTTTAGGGTTTAGGGTTTAGGATGTCGGGATGAG